GAAGGTAGCAGAGAAAGAGGCACAGTTTATGAGGATATGTGGGAAAGATAACCCTAGACTTGAACAGGTTAAGATTGTAATGAGCAAGAAAGCATCCTCTTGGGAGTCAATTCCACAAAGTAGTGGTTTGTAGAAAGAAGCTGTTTAAGTACAATATGTATGGTAATGTGGGACTTAGTCATGAGGTTTAGAACTGGTTAAACTAAGGAATAATGAACGAACACTTTCTTCTGAAATAGTGATAGAGCAGCAAGAAGCTTGTGATGCTTTGTTTAGATATTTTTAATGACATATCAATTCCTGATGAATCATTTAATGAAGAAATTTAATTCTCTTGGAAGCTTAAGTAATTAAGCAAAAAATGAATTGCTGGTAATTTTTTCCTTACAAAAAATGTACTTCTGGCAATTTTTTAGTATGAAAATGTATTGCTGGTAATATTTTTTCATTACAAAAATGTATTGCTGGTAATATTTTTTCATTACAGTGATGTATTGTTAGTAATTTTTTTTAGTATGAAAATATATTGCTGGTAATATTTTTTCCTTACGAAAATGTATTGCTGTTAATATTTTTTTCATTACAGTGATGTATTGCTGGTAATTTTTTTACTATAAAATTTTTTAGACTTTCATAATGTTTGATCCCAGTTTTGGAACTATTTGCCCACAGCTTGGACCTTAACTGGTGCTACCACTCTGGGACTGGGTGGATATGAAAACAACAGCAATTAAGAGGTGATTCCATGCTCCTCAAAACCTCCACTTTATAGTATTATAAAATCTCCAATTTGACTTGTCAAAGGTATCCTGTAATAAATTACTGAATTAAATTAATTTTGATTATATAAAGTGCAACTTCTGCATCTCCTTTTATGTGCCATGTCCCTTCAGGATGTGAACGATCATGACTCTCCACAACTTCCTATTATTTGTAGTTGTAAGCAATGTTTGTTCCTTATTATTCCTCCCAGTTTATGTTATGCAATCCATTTACACAGACTTGTTAAATATGTTACTCACTGTTTCTGTCTTGCTTTCATTATATCCTGCAGGTGTTAAATTCTTCAAGCCTTCTTTCCTCATTATGTGACCAACCCAGAAATTTCAACTGTCTTTTTCTAATTCTAAACAAAAGTTGTCCCCCATTTTCCTTAAAACTTCATGCTCTGTTAACAAAATTCTCGGCATTTATCTGTAGGAAGATTGATATTGCATAACTAGTTTGATGCAAATTTCCAATAATTCAACAATAAGTTATTTGAAAAGCACTTGCTGAACTAAGATGCCAATTGATTTGACATGGTACATTTTTTATACCGCTACATTATTTCATGTAGAACATCCTTCTGAATTTTGTTGCCTATAGATCTCATATATTCTATGGTATTAAGTTTAGGAAAATAAAATTATCTATTTTCCAAATTTGTTGTCACTATGTTGGCTTACACACTATGTAAAAACCTGATGAGATTGTATATATTAAACAAAAATTCACTCCACATACACTATAGTTCAAAAGTTTGAGGCTACCCTTGGCAATTTTTTAAATTGGTCCCAAAAGTAGTTGTTTTGTACTTTAAATAAGAGAAAATTATTATACATGGTTAAAAAAAGTGAGACATGATTTTTTATTGAAAATTTTATTATGACAAAAAGAAAAAAATCATTTTATGATTATATTATGCTCTTGTCAAAATATCCTCCTTTAGCCTTGATTATTGCAGCACAAATTCTTGGCATTCACTGCAAAACTTTCTCAAAGTAGAAGTTTGATAATTGATTCCATTCTTTTTTCAATTACACTAAGAGCTCTTTTTTATTTTTATTTTTCACTCTTTTGTCAAATTCATCCCATGCTAATTCTGGGGGTGGGGGTGCTTCAAACTTTTGAACTGCTGGTTTAATTTTTTTCTTCTCTTCTCTTTAGTTTTATTATTTATTTGTTTAATATAATTTTTATATTGTTATGTACTTATGCATGTGAGTATATATATATAAAATAAATCATAATATATTTTTAAAAAAAAATCCACATTACAACCAAAACCGTTTGCAGTTTCTCTTATAGATATTATGACTTTTATATATATGTTAAGATTATGACTATTTTGTAACCCTATGTTCCTGTGTCATAAGTTGGTTGGTTGATTGGTTAGGTTTTATGGCATATCAACCACTGTAGGTCATTTAATCATATATATATATATATATATATATATATATATATATATATATATATATATATATACCTATATATATATTAATTATACAGTACTATTAAACGTATAGCTGGAAACATTATTTTTTCAAAAACGTATGGCTGGCAACATTATTGTTCCGAAAACATTATCTGAGGCCTTCCTGTTGGATGTAGTTTATTGTCATACCCAGAACGCGGATGTAGTTTATTGTCATACCCAGGACATGTTATAAGTTGGGGAACTTAATTTGTTTAGTTCTTGAAAAAGGTCACCTCCAAAATGATACACAATAAAGGTACAAAATAAAAACATTTCAGAAGCTTTATTTTTCAATTTGCTAATGATGCAATTGGATAGTACTTGTTTTTTTATCACACTTAACAATTTATAGCTATAGTATAACATGCAATCTTACAAATAAACAAAAACTTGCAAAAGCATTATTTTTGAATTTTCTAATTATGTAATTGGATAGTACTTAAGTATTTTTAATGAACAATGTTCTAGAAGGCTCCAGAAAGTTATAGTACTAATATACTTATACAATTTTAGAAATTTCCTGTTGGAAGGGTGGGGGTGATATATTTTTACAAATAAACTTAATTAAACCATTTGTTATTATTTTTTAACAAAATTTCATGAAATTATGATACAGGAAATCATTTATTTTACAAGAAGTAAAAAATCATAACCCTAATATATGAGATCTGGCTAAAGATTAATGGGGATGGGTGAGCTATGGACGAAAGAGGGATAAGCGGATTGTGTTATCATCTTAAATGATATCTTGAGAGTATATAACTGTAATCTTAGATTTCTACAACCATTGCATTTTTTCTTATGCTTTATTGGGTGGACAAATCATGGTTGCTTCACCACAATAATGCCTCTGTTCACAACATCCTGAGCATCCGACAGTTCATTGACGAGAAGAATGTCGTTGTACTGATATTGTTCTGTATAACTTTTTCTTTTTAAGGGGATTATCAAAGGGGCCCATTTTGAAGGTGTGGAGGCCATCAAGATGGCTATAATAACAGAGATGTTCATAGCGAGGCAGAGAAGAATGGAAAGGTGCATTAGATTCAAGGGAATTACTTTGAAGGTTAAACCATATAGTATGTAAATATCCACACACAAATTTGCGAAGGCCGACCAAAAGAGATTACATGACATAAAATTAGAATTTTCAACCAAACACAGCTAATTCAAAATTTTCAACCAATTGCTGCTGATTCAAAATTCAAAACAGTTCAAGCCTGTATATGCTTAAAACCCTGTGATGGTCAAAAGTACTTGAATAAATATGAACATTTTATCTTTAATTTTGATCCCAATTTATTGGATTGGCCAAAAAGTTTGTAGAAAATTTACTTAATAAACTGAACAAACATTTTCAACAAGCCAATAAATAGGAATATATGAGATTTGTCTGAAAAGTAACAAGACTTGGTTCATTGTGTGAGGTCTGGGTGAAAGAGGGATAAGCGGATTGTGTTATCATCTAACATGATATCTTGGGAGTATATAACTGTAATCTTAGCTTTCTGCAACCATTGCATTTTTTTTCACATGCTTTTGTGGCAAGATAAATCATGGCTGCTTTATCATGACAATGCAAATGCTCACAATGATTTCTGATTCCTTGTAAAGTCTACTTCATCTCTATATTAATATTGTCTCTGCTTGAACTATTTATTTTATGCTTATATGTTTCCTGTTTAGGATTGGGTTTCCACTTCCTTCTTTGACAGTCTTGTCATTCTCTCTCACTCCCAGTCACCCCTTGCATCTTTATGGCATTATCACCTTGCATGGGGTGAAATGATTTAAAAAATTAAAATGAAAATCAATTGCAAATTTAAACTACAGTCAGTGATTGATAGTCTCAGTATAAGCAAATGCTTAATCTGACTTCATTAGTTGAGCAATAATTGATTCAATAGATTTATATTGCCAGTATATGTATCCTTAATATCCTTTTTAGAGATAATTATATTATCTATGGAGTCTTAGATTTTGTGGCCAGAGTTACAGAAGAAAAAAAAACTGCAACTTTTTACCAAATTCTTTGTAACATTACTCAAAGAATAATTTGCTGCATCTTTCAAATCTGTGAATATGTTTGTGTATAAAGACTGATTTGGTTTTCTTTTATGGTTTATAAACCTTTTTTCAAGGCTATTTAAAGCCAACAAATATTTTTTAGATTGTGAGAATTTTTTTGGAGATAACAATGATTTTACTGATAAAAGTCCTACCCAAAAAATAACCCATCCAAACTTACAGCACCTGCTATCCCTAATTAGTCACCTATCTAGGCTCAAAAGTTCATCATATGAGAACTGGTCTTTCAACATCATATGGATGTAAGCTTGTGTGTAAAGAAGAATGTTGACTGCAAAACTTAGTTAAAAAAACCTGGCTGCTTAGATTACCGCAGCAGTATGAATATACATTAGAAACCTCAACCATTCCCCATTAGTGACTATTTAAGGATGGATTTATTGTCTAAATAAGGCATATGAGAAAAATTTCTTTGGCAGAGACCATTAACAATCAGTTTCATATTTGTTTAAATTAGACAAGTTGTTAGCATTAACAGTAAATGGGAAAAATTAGAGGCTAGTTGACCTTCTTCTATGTGTTGTGCCCCTTCAGGATGTTGGCAATCATAGCTCTCCACAATTTCCTGTCCTTTGTAGCTCTTAAGAAATTCTGCCTTTTTGTAATCTCTCCAAAACCTTGTTCTGCCATCTATTTGTTTATGCATTGTTTTCTTCTGTCTCTTTAAGCTTATGGCCACATCACATTGAAACACTGGTTCCTGTACAATCCCTGAAGTTAAGCAACATTGAGCCTGGTCAATAGCTAGATGGGTAACCACTTAGGAATACCAAGTGCTGTAAGTTTGGATGTGCAGGTGGTATAATATTTAATGGCTCAGAATTTTTAATCAGGAATTCAAGTTGGGTTTGTTATATTCATTTATGTGCAAATACCCTTGGAAAAGGTATGAATCCATGTCTTCTCTGTCCCCCAGCTGTATGTTAATTAGTAAGAGTTGCATCACAAAATCATTACAATTTCAAAAAATAAAATAAGATTGTATACAAAATATTCAGATTTTGACATTAAATAACTTGTAAAATGATTGATATACTGCTAAAGAAAAACAACCAAACCAATCACTGTCACTCTAGCCTTCAATCTTCCTTGTGAGTGTCAAATTTTGTCAAGCCCTCTTTCCTCATTATGTACACTAGAAATTTCATCTATCCCTTCCTGATGTTAAGTGTCATTTTTGTTTGCATTTTCTCTAAAACTTTGTTGTTTCTCACATGTTTGGTGCCCATGATATTCTCAGCATCCTTCTGTAGAACCACATTTCTGTTACTTCAAATCTCAAAGAGAACTTATATTACATAACATTCCAGTACTCTTTTCTTTGTTTCTAACAAAGTTTTTCTATCTCTCAATGATTTGTGTAGTTTTTACAAGGCATCTTTTGCTGTCCCAATGTGTGTTCAAATTTCAGTGTTGTACTTTTCATCTTCTGTTAAAACACTTCCCAGATATTTAAATTCTTGTATATTTTTGATTTTGGTATCTCCAATTTGTAATTTGGTCTGTTCCTTTTGCTAAGAAAAAAAAAAAATAATAATATTGTTTAGAATTGTATTTTTTTTTTTCCAAGTGACTTATTACTGGCATGTTTTGTTAAAAAAAAAAAGTTCTTTAACAATTTTGTCATTAACTCTCCAGCTAATTTCCTGCTAATCTGACTCTTTGATTTTCAATGATATCTGATACTGGATGACAATTCCTATGTAACTGCTCATTGGTTAGACGATCACTTCAAGTGAATTCAAAGCTGCTTTTTCCATGTGAGCATAGGCTCCATCCAATCTTCAATCCAGTTTTGAGGTAAGGGTTCATGTTGAACAACTTTACAATAGAACAATGATAACAGTTGTTTGGATGTGTAGGTGGTATAATGGATAATGGCTGGAAATTGTTAATCAGAGAGCCAAATTTCAATTTTTGTTGGGTTGATTATATTCACTTATTACATGCAAATACCCTTGGAAAAGATATGAATCCACTTCTTCTTCCCCTAGCTATGGGATAATTAACAGGACTTGTATCACTAACACCATTATTATTGTAAAATAAAAATTGTATATAAAATATTTAGATTTCAGCATTAAGTGACCCGTATAGGTTGATATGCTGCTAAACAAAAACATCCAACCAATAAAAGAACACTAACAATTTTGTTTTTAACTCTCCAGCAATGTCTTGTGAATCTGGCTCTCTGTTCTTTGATCATGTCTGATACTGAATGAAGGTTCCTACACAATCACTCTATTTCACATTGTCTGGACATCTAGATTTCCACACTAGATTTTACTCCTTATAGATTATTTCATGCTGAAATTTAATTTTCTTTGGAGCATTAGTGATTTCATTTACAAAAATATATTGCTGCTAATTCTTTTTTTACTATGAAAATGCATTGCTGGTATTTTTATACTTTCATAGTGTTTTGACTCCAATTTAGGAGTTAACTATTTGCACATAGCTGGGTGCCTAACAGGTACTCTCAATACAGGTCAGGGTGGAGCTGGGAACAACAGTAATTAAGAAGTGGTTCCACACTCCTCAAAACCTCCTAATCAGAGAGAGACCTTGCTGCCAGATGTAGTTTATTGTCATATTCAGGATACCCATACCAGAGATAACATATTGATGACACCCAAGGCTTTATTTACAGTGCTTTTGTAGCTAGAGATTTTACTACCGAGATATGTAAATTCTTCTACACATGTAAGAGGTGTGACTGATACTGTTCTGATTATTCCATTTTGATTTCTGTTTTGTTTGTTTATAAGCTATAAAATAACAAATCAATCAAATCCACAAATTTTCTAGTATTTTATATGAATTGTAAGCATTTTCTTAAAATGTTATAATTATGTATTGTTGTGTCGGAAACCTACCACCCCTCTTGAAGATGAACTTGTCTGCGTCTGCAAACAAAGACTTTAAATAGTGGCATGTCAGTTGACATGGGGAAGACAGATAGACAGAGAAGTTCTTAGCTGAGCTAGTTATTGACTACTCAGGCAATTTCTGTACCTTTTTACCAACCTATTAAAACCCTTTTTATTGTTACGTGTTATTTGGCGTTTGTCTCTACTAACCCCAAATGAACATCATAACATGTATACAATTACTGAGAAAGATTTATTGTTTTTATTTAATATTTTTGTATGGTAAGGTTCATCCTGTCAAGCCCTGGGATAGAGGATTGCAGGAGCAGTTAGTTACTGGAGCAGTAAAGAGAACCAACCATTTTTTCTGTGTCTTTAGAGATGCTTTGTATGAGTTCCACTTGAGTTCTGCGTTGTGTTTGAGGCCTAAAAGTCATTCAAGGGAACATCAATTCATTGTGACTGGTGGTAGTTCAAGGTATGATTGGTGATGATGAAATGCAATTAGTTTAGTTTTCTAGGCATTGAATGTGTTATATTCTGTGCTAATAGTAATATATTCTTGACAAACACGGTGGATTAAATAAGCAAAGGTTTATTGTAAAAACCAGTACAATAAGAATAATGGTAACAGTTATGCATAAAGTTATCGCAAGTCAAGCCAGTGGTGAGGGCTACTATTGGAAGGTCAGTAGTTCTCACGTAAGTCTGAGTCATACTAAACAGATCCCAGGTAGTATATTTAGCTACCCTTCCTCCCACGAGTGTTGCATGTGGCACAAGGCCGGTTTAACATGGATTTTCTGAGCCTGTAGCCTTGGCCAAAAATATTCCCTTTCAAACCCATATAAACGGGTTCAGGGGCAGTCCAACTACCCGAACGAGACTCTGCCCTTTGGTGGAACCTTGTCCAGGTTCCTCTCTGCCCGAAGACAGAGAGTTTGACTGTTTAGTTGGAACAAATCCCGGCAAGTTTCTGTAGTCCGTTGACTTAAAGATACTTATAGGTAGTTACTACCTATAGTATAGTCCCACATGGGGGTTATTCCATTACATCAGAATGAAACTAGCCAGTTTTTTTTACTCCACTGAGATTTAGAGCAAAATTGGAGGAGAGATCATCTGCTAATCTTTGATGATCTAGACCTTTGGAGGTGAACCCATATACCATTATATTATCAGTATAGATAATCCCAAATGATTGTAGTATACTCTAAGGCAGATCATTTTTGTAAACTAAAAAGAAGGTTGGTCTGAGAAGCAACCCCTGGAGGATGCCTGTGTTAATTGTTAGGATTCCTTCAGGGACCTACCCATTAGGAAGGACTTTATTATTGAGAAAACTCTGAGTAATTCCTTAGCTAGAGAGCATGAGCAGCAATCCTTGTTTAAAAGCCTTTGAAATATTTGAGAAAGATAAAAACATACCTTTCCATGTTTGAAATCTTAATCAAGAACATAAACCTCTGGTCATCTAGAGTTTTGCAGTGCATCCATATACCTTTGTATCATCAGCATAGATATTCACAAATGATCAGAGTATACCCTTAGGTAGATCAATTATTTAAAGTAAAAAGATTTTTGTCTGAGTAGTGACCCCTGAGTGACACTTGCATTGATTGTTAAAGCCCCTTCAGGGACCTACCCATCAGGAAGGACTTTATTATTGAGAAAACTCTTTGAGTAATTCCTTAGCTAGAGAGCTTGAGCAGCAATCCTTTGTGTCACACCTTGTCAAAGGCCTTTGAAATATCTGAGAAAGATTTTATTATTTTTTGATATGTTCCGGAAAGGGATATATTTGTTTGAAGTAGCAAAGTGGTTGTTGACTACTGTAACCGGGTAGGACAATCTAGCAGGTAACCGTAATGGACGGGACCTCATCGTAGTGGTAGGCAATAGGCGAAGGCAATAGGCGTAGTCCATGTATCTCCACATCAGTCTGTATTTATGGCTGACACCAGCCAATCATATTACTGTGAGGGGAAACCAGGTGTATGCATATTCATTACATCATTTTTATTTCATATAGATAAACACATACCTTTCCAGGTTTGAGATTTTAATCAAGAACGTAAACCTCTGGTCATCTAGAGTTTTGGAGCTTCACCCATATAACATTGTATCATCAGTATATTCACAAATGATCAGAGTATATCTTTAGGCAGATCAATTATCTAAAGTAAAAAGATTTTTGTCTGCGAAGTAACCCCTGGGTGACACCTGCACTGATTGTTAACGACCCTTCAGTGACCTACCTATTAGAAAGGATTTTTATTATTGATAAGATTCTTCCTGTGATTCTATAACTAAAGAGCTGGAGCAGCAATCCTTTGTGTCACACCTTGTCAAAGGCCTTTGAAATATTTAATGCTATGGTCTTTGTGATGGATGAGATATAGATAAACACCTACCTTTCCAGCTTTGAGATCATAACCAAGAACCCAATCCTCTTGAGTTGGATGCATAAGGATTCGGCTGGGCACAAAACTGATTGGCACTTGTATCATTTGTTCAGCTTCGTTGTATGTCAGGAATAACTGTTTGTTTTTCACATCGGTAAAAATCAACTGAAAAAGATTCATAAAAGGAATTAGCTTCAGAAAGACATTTTCAAACAGGTGCCAATAAATTTGATTGGCTACATTTTTATACTGTCACAATATTTAAAGTAGAAGAGTCTTCTGAATTTTGTTGGCTATAGATCTTTTCTTTGTCTTTTTTTTTCTCACCCCAAGCAAGGTGAGGATGCCACTAGTATGTAGGGAATTACAGGGAGTGAAACAGATGAAGACTGAAAATGGGGAGAATTGAGGAAAAGACAAAATTGAACAGGGTTCAAGAAGACAGAATATGGCAACTGATGTTGCATTTACATTTTTGAATGTAGTTACCAGGGAAGTAAGACATTG